TTACAAATTGTTCAAAAAAATATATTATAATTATATTATTTTATAAACATTTAAGTCAAAAAAATCAAAGTGCATGTTGGACCGAGTGCAAGAGTTTAACTCAACTCGTTTAGGCTGACGTTTTCAGTTTCAGAGCGAAAGGACTTGTAAGCCCATCATTGGCTGAATTAAATGCCCAACCATCTGTTATTTGAGGTGGAAGGTGCAAATTGCCTCCAATATTATGGAGTTATTAGTATTTATAATTAAAATTTTATATATCAATCATTAAGTTTGCACTAATTTTTTTAATAGATTGGTAATAATTAGTTAAACTTTTTTAAAATGTAAAAAAATTCTTAAAATTATATTATTTTAATAAAATATTATATAAAAAAGATCAAAATATTCTCATTTTTATTTAAAAAAATTTATTTTAAATTTGTTAATAAAAATTTATTAAAACAATTTAATTTTAATTTTTTTTATCTTTTAGAATTAGGGGTCACAAATACCTTTTTGCTTTCTCTAAAATAAAATTTCAAAGTGCTGATTCACGTCAACTGAAATAAATTAAAGAAATTTACACATTTGGCCATGTAATGAACTATTTTTCCATCTATAATTACCACCAAACAAAAAAGGCAAAACCATAAGTTAAGCCCCTGAACGAATCCCAGAATCGCTATTAACCCCCTAGACTTTAATTGATGCAGTTAAGCCCTTAAACTCTGTTATCAAAGCAATTAAGCCCTTCTTCTTACGCCAACTTAACTGCTGTTTGGGATTGCTCGCCTAACTTAACTGCAGTTGAGGACACACCCCGCTTGGCTGCTTGGATGGCAAAATATTGCCATGCCATGCTTACATGGCAAGGGATTTAACATTTGACCTGAATTTTTTATTTATTTGATAATTTAATTTTTTTTATTTAAATAAAATATAAATAAAATAAAATCATAAATTTGAGTGAAAATACTATTTATATAAATCTAAAATTTAAATTTAATAAATTAAGTAATAAGCACTAAAAAATATTTTATGTAATTTATTATGATCTGATTTTAAATTAGTTAAAACTAATATAATTTTTAAATTTTGAAAGTTTAACAAAAAGTAGTATCATTTAAAATGATAAATTTATAATTATATGATATATGATATTAAATAAATATAATAAAAATATATATATCAGTTTTAATTTTTAAAATAAATTAAGTTT